GAGTCTCCTAGGAAGCTGCTCTTTGTTATGTCACTTAGTTGCTTCCTGGTACACGCCCTGTCACCTCGGATGCCGTCGGTTCTCTCGCCAAGGTCAGGAGCAGGTGTACCTTTGCACTGCGTCACATCATGTCGCTCATCTTTCGCGTGCGAACGAATTCTTCCGCAGTTGGTGCGAGGGTCGACTCCGGATGTCAATGACTTCAGGCGTGCCTTTTCAGCCGCGTGGATGCGTACTCTGAAGCTGCGACGGATCGCTGGCGCTGTCAGGGTCCCTTCCCCCTGCTGGACGACGTCAGCTCTCTTGCCTACGGTCTCGCTCATACCCGACAGGCACCCTGGGCTACTGACGCACTTCCTGCACGGAGTCAGATCCCCACTGCCTTGTGATCGTCGGACCGACACGATCCTTGACTGGGGGTGTGCGTCGCGCCACTTGACAGCGTCCTCCCTGCTTCCTGGGTGGCAAGATACTACGGCCTTCAGCCGTGCTTCTCCGCCTTCCCTGGGAGCGACCCTGGGCTTGGCCTCGTCGTCAGTGGGTCTCATCGTTGCTCAGGCGGTTTTGTGACGCGGTTCGCCCCGCTGCGTCGGCTGGAATGCCCACCCGGTCCGCTGCGGCCGTACTCGGACTCTGAGTTGCAGGCGCGCTCCCGTACATGACTCGCCACTGTCTGGCAGCGGTTGGCCCAGGCGGGCTACCCCGGTGGCTAGTGGTGCACCGCTCGCCGCGGGGATCCGTGCGCTCTGGCGTCATCCCATCGTCGCTCCCACGCTCACCTCGTGAGCAGTCACTTCCTGGGCTTCTTCGTGACTACGATTGCTTGTGCTGCAGTGGGCATGCGACAGCACAGCCTTCTCAGAGCGCTATTTCTTCTTTCTGGTCTTTCAGAGTCTCCTGGGGAGCCGCTTTTTGTTATGTCATTTAGTTGTTTCCTGGCACGCGCCCTGTCACCTCGGATGCCGTCTGTTCTCTCGCCAAGGTCGGGAGCAGGTGTACCTTTGCACTGCGTCACATCATGTCGTTCATCTTTCGCGTGCGAACGCATTCTTCCGCAGTTGGTGCGAGGGTTGACTCCGGTTGTCATGACTTCAAACGTGCCTTTTTCAGCCGCGTGGATGCGTACTCTGAAGCTGCGACGGTTCGCTGGCGCTGTCAGGGTCCCTTCTCCCTGCTGGACGACGTCAGCTCTCTTGCCTATGTTCTCGCTCATACCCGACAGACACCCTGGGCTACTGACGCACTTCTTGCACGGAGTCAGATCCCCACTGCCATGTGATCGTCGACCGACGCGATCCTTGACTGGGGGTCTGCGTCGCGCCATTTTGGCAGCGTCTTCCATGCTTCCTGGGTGGCTGTTTCCCTTCAGACTCCCTGGGTTGCAGCTTGCACCGCCGCCTGATCCGCGGCCCCCGCGCGCGCCCGGCTAATTCGTCTCGGCCGCAGCCCGACCGTGACCCGCCGCCGCCGGCGCTTCCGCCTGCGGCCTTTTTTATACCAAAAAAAACAATCCCCACAAGCCCATCCAGAAACGATGCCCAGGGGAGTTGAGGTGATCAGGGAAGTCGGGGAGCATGCAGAATAACCAAGGGCGGGGGAAGCTGTCACGTACCCCAAAAGGGGGAGGATGGAAGAGGAATCCTCGTCGGAGGGGGAGGGGGAGGAAGAGGAGGAGGAGGAGGAGGAGGAGAATGAGGGCGAGGGCTGGTGGGATTCGGGGGCGAGGGGGTCGGAGCAAAACTTGCATTTGATTTCGGGGAGGGTTGTAGCCACGGCCGGATCCTGGCGGGCCCATGGGCCCACAGGCCCACCCCTCCAACGGCTCCAACCGTTCTTACCCTCGATTTCGGCCCCCTGGGGGCCCGTCGCCCGGCTCTGCAGGGCCATCAGGGAGTGGCCCGAAGCGAAAAACTGGCCCTGGGGAAGCGGTCAGCGTTCACCCCCTTGCCCTCAGTTCGGCGGCGAGCGAGGGGGGGAAGTGAGAAGGAAAAGGCTTTCTCAGAAGGTAGCGCGCCTTCTCAGAAGCCCTCGTGGCTTCAAAGATGTTTTCTGCGCCTTCGGGGAAGGCTAAGACATTTTCTCTGGAGGAAGATGCCTGGGGACTTCCGAGTTTTCTGGGAAGGCCCGCCCCTTCTCACTTCCCCCCATGCTCGCCGCCGAAGACAACCTATACACTCAGGGCGCTCAAAGAAGTACCACTATGGGCTCAGCAATGCTCGCCGCCGACTCCTGGAACGAAGCGGCATCCGGCTCAGAAGGCTCCGCGAGGGCGACGCCGGGAAGGCCGAGGCCCGCTCACGTGCTGGCCCCGTGGCCCCGCAAACGTTCCCACGCCTCTGGCGTTGCAGACCGCGTCCAGGTATCGCAAACAAGAGGACGAGGAGGAAGAGGAGGAGGAGGAGGAGGAGGAGGGGGAGGAGGATGACTACGATCGCAAACAAACGTGGTAGATATACATGTTGCTGGTCATTGTGCCGGTCTTTCCTCTGGATCCTGGGGCGCCCTGGGTGGCGCCGGGCTGACACGCGCAGGGCAAGGCATGGAACTATAAAGGAGCCCTGCGGCACACACGTATTAACACAAATCCCCGGAATCCCAATCTATTTATATTTCTGGGTTTTCGAACGACGACAACGCCGATGCCGATGCCGACGCCCATGCCGATGCCGACGACGACGACGACGACGACAACGACGACGACGCACTGCGGATGCCGCATGGGGGGGAGTGCTGCGCAGGCCCGCTGTAGTCGACGACGACGACGGCGACGACGAAGACAAGGACAACGTTGACGACGCCCGAGATAGTTTAGAAAATGCCTCGGGTGTAAACGGCCCGTACAACAACTAAGGGGGTACACGGTCCCCTCGGCGGTGCCCGCGACGACCCCGCGGGATTCAAAAAAGTGTTTCGCGCCCCGCGGGGTCCATTCATCAGCCCCGGGGGTGGGAAGGGGGAGGGCGGCTGTGCTGGCGGCGATCCGGGAGCACGCGCCGAGGCGCACTGTTGCTGCTGTGGCTGCTGCGGTTGCGGGCGCTGTGAAATCTGCGGGTGCGCGGCCCTCTGCGCCAGCGACTCTGAATAAGGAGCGAGCTGGGCGCGGGATGCACAGGGCAAAGCTGGAGTCTCCGATGATCCTCTTCAATTGTTGGAGAAATGTCGAAATGCGCGCCGGGCCAAACGTCTACGTAAGAAGCAGAAGCGCTGGGCTGCCAAGCAGGCGGCACATGATGGGCCGGTTCCTCCTCATCTTCCTGATGGCCCTCAGCCTCGCGATGGAACCATACAACGTCCAGCAGGTGCAACCTGCCTACGCGCAGACCTCGGGGGAAGTCCTGCTGCAGAGCCCGCTCTTGCACCTGCTCTACGTCTGGGCGCTGCGTCGCCTTCGCTCCTTGGACGTACAATGTCTGATTGCCGCGCCGCTGGCACAGCTCCGTCTTTGATTGCGGGCACCATGCCGCGAGCTGATCCAGCAAATAGCGGGAGTACTCACACTTTGGGGAGATTTCTTGCAGCGTCTTCTGTGCCTGCCCCAGATATTTCCCAATCCCGGGCGGATCCGAAGGGCGCGTCGGCAGAGAAGCCGTCCTTTCGCCGTGGTGAAAATGCCGGCTTTTCAAAAGCCAGCCGGACTCAGCCATACACGGGACTCAGACGGAAATAGCCTGCTTCTTCCTCTGTTTGCGCGGTGGTCGAATCCTGCCGCTTTCACATATGCTCCGGTGTTTCAGTTGGGCGGCCGCATACTTCGAGCAGTTCTGCACTCTTGTACTTGGTGTTCCTGAGACGGAACAACTTCTGAGGGGTGTCCTTTCTTACCTCTTCGGCTTCTCGTTCCGCACGTGAGCCAATCTTCGGCCGCGATTGCTGCAACAGGCCTCAAGCCGCCTAACTCGTTTTGCTTTGTAGAGGACAGGTCGCCCTTGTTCAGTGTCCTTTTACGCATCTGTTAATCTCAAGCTGGCATTATCGATGCCCTGGCTCGGTCGGCAAGAAGTAACTCAGCTCGAAGGTTTCGGCGTCCATGACGTTCGCCACCACTTCGTGTTACTTCTTCCTCCTCTCGATGATATAGTCGGGAACGGGTTCTGGCACGAAGCTTTGCTGCATGATAGTGTCACATACAATCATTTTATGACTGAGAGTGCCGCGTTGAGCTCCGCAATTATGGCATTGCCTTGAAGATGTCAGACATTTGTCAACCTCCGAGTCTGGGCATAGCAAAGCTCCTGACCACAAATTGCGAAGCGAATCTCGTTGAAATCCTGCCGGCGTGCGACGAACAGCTCGGCACATCGCATGACATCAAATCTACTCGTCGCCAATCCTGACAGGAAGATGAGCTATAATTTTGACGTTTGTCAACGGTACAAGGACTCCCCCATGAATATCTCCACGTCTCGAGGCGCAGTCAGATTGAGTTGTGTGACCAAGCCGAGGTCGCCGATGAACGTGAAGGAACCAGCGAACTGCGAACCGATACGACGAAGTGTGAGTCAGACTGAAGCCGCGGGGCCTCTGGCAGATTGCCAATTGAAATGAGGATTTCGAGCGCGTTGCTGCACAGCCTGCCAAGCTCAGAACAAATCAAACATCCGAACCATGCCATCCCATATGAAAGCAGCGTCGCGTGTGACCAGAAAGATAGAGCAATCGAATATCGGGAGAGGGCGGGGGTCTGGAGGAGGCAGGAGAAGACAGGAGAGGTCGGGAGGAGGAAGGAGCGGGAGGAGGAGGGAGGACGAGGAGGAGGGAGACAGGAGGGGCCTGGAGGAGGCCGGAGGAGGCAGGGGGAGGCAGGCCGTCGTCGTCGTCGTCGTCGTCGTCGTCGTCGTTGTCGGCGCCGTGGCCGTCGCCGGCGCCGTGGCCGTCGCCGTGGCCATGGCCGTCGCGGTCGTCGTCGTCGTCTCCCGCTCCGCGGCCTCGCCCCGCCCTCCGCGCTCCGCCTTCGCCCTGCGCCCCTCCGCCGCCCGAGGGGTCCGCCGCGCGGGGCGGGC